GGGGAAAAAAAACACGGGAAAAAAAACACGGGGGAAAAAGACAAGGGGGGAAAAAAAACACGGGGAAAAAAAAACGGGGGAAAAAAAAACGTGGGAAAAAACGGGGGGGGAAAAAAAACGGGGGGAAAAAAAACCGGGGGAAAAAAAAAAAACGGGGGAAAAAAAAAAAACCACGGGAAAAAAAGGAGGGAATCTGGCAAACTCTGAAAAGACCAGGAGGTGAGGGGGCAGGGCACCTGACTGGACTCAAGTAATACAGCAGAGAGGCAATAGAGGAAAATTTACATTACGGCTGCAGCTACGTGCAGATTAACGGCAGGACCCATCAGTCAGTGACTCTGCACCCTTCCCATGCAATTTACAGAATCCCAGGATCACAAAACGGTAGGGGTCGGAAGGGACCTCTGGAGATCATCTAGTCCAACCCCCTGCTAAGGCAGGTTCACCTAGAGCAGGTTGCAGAGAATCGAGTCCAGGCAGGTTTTGTATATCTCCAGGGAAGGAGATCCCACAACCTCCCTGGGCATCCTGTTCCAGTGCTCTGCCACCCTCAATGTAAAGAAGTTTTCCCAGCAACACCAACCCGATGCCTGGGCTGTGGATGCGCTGGGCACAGGAGCACACCACGGTGCAGCCCGCAGGGGAGCTGGAGCTGCCGCACTCCTTTTTGGCTAAAGAGAAAATTTCTGGTTTATGTCCTTGTTACAAACGCAGGATTTCTCACACATACATTTTTTTCTCCATCAAGTGGCCATGAAGCTTTGTCTGTCCTGGGCAGAGAGCACAGCACCAACACAGATGAAGAATATCCTGCCTGAGCTGAGAGAAGAAAACCTTCTACCCCAGATGCACCAGCGTAAATCTGGACAGCTCAGCTGTGCTCACTGGACTACTTCAGGATTTATCAAGACATTCACGGCAGCAGAATTTGGCCCAAAACTCAGGAAAGAAGACTGCATTCAGTGTTTGCTTCCCCAAAAGAAGCAAGCTTGCCAACTTCTCTTTAATACGAGAGGCCAAGCCTGCGGCATCACTGCTGTTTCCAGCGGTTATGTGCCAAGGCTGAGGTTGCCTGGGTGCCCACCTGTGCTGCGGCACTATGCCAGGCAGAGGGAGAGCACCCACTGCCTTTGTGCCCATATCCCAGCATCAGAGAGTGCTCCCGCTCCTCCCTAGCAACTCATCCCTCAGAAATACCACTCTGCTCACTTCAGAGGAGACAAAGACAGCATTTCTGCAGCCAGGGGCTAAAACAACAAAAGCAACAGAAGCCACCTCTGTGATTTGGGTTAAAGTGACTCCAGAGAGAGCTCTCCTTCACCCAACTCCTACTGCCAGCAGCTCCTGCTCCCAGCACGCACCTTGCTCCCGCAAGAGCAGATTTCCCTCCTCCATCACCCATTCTGTGCAACTGGCCTGGGAGAAAAGTCTTTCCCTTCGGGTCAGGACTGTTCACCATCATCCCTTGTGAGCACAGCCACGACAGCATCTCTGGAACAGGGTCACACAATAGCATGGCTCCCATGGGTCCTGGGGTCTTGCTCCTGCTGCTGGGAATGACACCCCCTGACAGACAGGCTGGCAAAAAACAGGATGCCCACCACCCTCCAGAAGTGCACATCTCAAAATTTCAATCTTGGTTAGTGGGTGCCAAACCCTTGCTGAACACCTTGGCTGTTGTCCATCAAAGCATCCAGGAGAGGAATCAGCACCTTGGTATCCACAGCACCATCACCTATAATGGTCACTGCTAGGTCAGAACCATTTCCACCAGACTAAATCATTTAAATCAAGCATGACACATACAAATGGTAAAATAAACCCCACCTCATTTCCCTTCATTCAGGGTTGCAATGCCATCATACCTCTAAGCACAACTTTTCAAAACTCCCTCTTCAGTTTTCCACCAAGACTGTTTTCCCCTGCATGCTTTGCTGGGACCAGCACGTGGGATGGGAGCTGGGAGACAGAGAAGCCCCTGGCTCAGCCCGCTGCCCGCCTTGCCAACCCCTCACACCTTGCTCATCAGCCCATTCCTGAGAGGCCACTGGTCTGGCTGCTCACCTGTGAGGCCCTCACAGGTTGTTTGGGGCACAGAGCTTCAGCAGACCCCTGTCAACCTGTGCCTGGTGAAGCCTTTTTTAAAAAGCTGGAAAGAAATGGCACAGTATGCAAGGAAGAAATGTAAAGTAAGAGTTGCAGACATATGAACAGCCTATGGAGAATGTGAATCCTTTGCTTTCCGTTACTGAATCCATCCAGTGAGAAACTGAACTCTCTGACCCAACAGCTGCCCATGTAATACAGCATTTACACACATTACGCAGGTGTATCCTGCACTTAAAATGCAGGGGTGTGGAGGCACAGAGCAGGGACTGCCCTCTTCCCACCTGCAGCTCTTCAGACCAACCCAGCTGTGCCTTCTAACTTGCCCAAAACACTGGGCCTTCCCAAAGCCCGAGCTAACACCCAGCTCTCTCATCCCACTGTGCTGCACAGCCCACCAGCAGCAGGGGGCGTTTGGACTTCTCCAGGTAACGGAGCTCATGCAGTGCAGCGTGGGCTGTGTTCAGCTGGCACACGTACAAGTAAATACCCATAAAATTGTGCAGAACCCCCCTGCAGGAGGGCTCTGCTGCTGCCCATCACCCTCTGCCTCTCCTTGGGCTGCAAGAAGCCATCACCTATCAAACCTGAGTTATGAACTAAAAAGAGACAATGAGAAAGCACTCTTCAAACAAATTCATGCTTCTGTGTAAAGCAGAATTCAGATACATTTAAGGAGAAAACACCTCTTCATTGTGCTGTTTGGAAGGTAAGTATGATTAATTTGGCTTTTTTAAAAAATTAATTTCACTCCTCTGTCACGCCCTTCCCACGTCTTCCCTTTGAGATTTACTTAATTCTACTTGAGAAAACTACTGATCAAGATAGGAGTTATTTCAGCATCTGTTGCTGAAACATTACTTAATTTCTCCTGTCCTTTTCACTCTCCCGCATTCAGCAGCTCCCTCCAAGACTCTTAATTTCTCTTGTCTTCTGTTAATTAAAACCCACTTAGGATTGCTTGCTGATAACTGCACACTGGTCTAACAAAGCCTGGTCTGTTGCTAGGTTTGTTTTGTTAAGTGTCATATGAACAGGCAACAGCAGGTCTTACTGGAACATAAGTGTAGTACAAACTATTCTCTGCAAGTGTTTGCTTTTTGAGTATAATATGCAAACTTGGGGAAAAGGTGTCCATAAATTTTTTTTCCTCAAAAATATTTTAGAACATTCTTATGTTTCACATCTTGCATAAAATCAACAACATTGATAGCTTTTAAATACCAACAACAGGGGAAGCAAGAAGGAACAGAAAATCAGAGTATCCACTGTGACCATGTCACTACCTGGTTCCAACACGACCCGGCAAGGGATGATGAGCCCCCGCAGCTGGGGGAGTCCAGCTGCTTGGGCAGCTTAGGCACACTGCACCTTCTAACCCCATCTGAAGACATCACTGGCTACTTTTTAGCACCTTAGAACAGCTCCAGGAGTCACGTAGCTTATTCCTATTAAGTGCACAATAATACTCCAATCTATTCTGCATCAAAAAAAAACCCCAAACTTTCTGTAAATACAGCGTTATTTTTCCTGCTTTGCCTAAAGCCTCCTTAGCATCGCTCCATGGAAAGTAAGCGTCTGCCTCTGTGAACCCACTACTAACATGCACAGCTACAGAGGTAAGCTGAGCATCAGCGGCCACAGCACAAGGAGGCACAATACACACAAAAGCTCTTCGCTGTCGTTTGGAAACAATGAGTCCATCTGGCAAATTTATTTTCAGTCATATGAAGAATTCCTCCTCCTCATCCTCCGCTCTGTTTGTAGGGCTGGCCCGCAGTGTTCGCGACTGGAAGCCCGAAGCTCTTTGCCCTGCTCCTTTACTCCTTCTGGCTGCAGCAAACAGCAGCTGGGCCCTGTCCTGGGAGGGCACAGCGCTGCCAGCCCCACCCGGGGAGGCTCGCAGCTGGAGGAGGCTGCTCCGTTTTTTGGTGTCCGGGGGGCAGGGGCCGCCCGCGGGATTTGCCACGGCGAGCCCAGTGTCGACGTTGGTCTCCGCTGCCTGCCAAGGAACACGGCTCTCCTGGAGAGAAGCCTGCAGCTTGCTGCTCGCCTGCCTGTGAAGGGAGGTGGCATCCCACCACCACCGGGCTGCTGGACCAATGTGGGAAGAGCAGAAGTGCCTGTGGAGGTCACCGCTGGCTTGCTCAGGGCTAAGGGCTCTGCTTTGGTCGGGTTTTGTTTTACCTTGTATGGCTCTGACCTGGCTTATCTGCCCAGGATTACCCCGCTCAACAGGGAGAGGGGCTGGGACAGAGTCCTGCAGGATTTTTTCATTGTGTGCATTATTATGCTGATGGGAAAGCCCAACATTTGTTTCAGGGGGCTTGGAGCTGCCTTGAACCTGTTGAAGAAAATTGGGAGAGAACCCCGTTAACATATTGTTCTAGCTTGACCAAGTGACGATGCTCTCACCCAGTCTCGCTGTGCTGAAACCACCTGAGCGTGAGTCAGTCAGAGCCCCACTAGAGAACAGCATAGGAGTCTTACAAACCTGAGTGATGGCTGATGAAACTCAATGTAAATAATGTGATGCACATGGAGAAAAACAATCCCAGCTTCACATACAAAATACTAGGCTGTGAGCAGACCATAACCCAGGGTCTCATTTCGGTGACAGACAGCACTGTGTTAAGCATCTGTTCAGTGCATGACAGCAGTCTAGAAAGCAAACAAAATCTTAAGAATTATTCCAAATAGAATGGAGGACATTGTTATGCATGGTGCAGGTCTGGTCCCAAAGCTGTCCCTCACCTGCAGCACACAACAGAGTATCATGGAGCTGGAAATGCTTCAGAAATGGACAACAAGGGTACTGTACTGCAAGTACAGTAAAGGAACTATCATGTGTGCTGGGAATTCTAAGCCTGGGGAAAAAAACCCACCAGTTTGGGAGGGAGAGGATAAAAGGCTAAAGCACCATGAACCACTTGGAGAAACAGAAAAAAACCAAACCCAAATCACACAGGATGGGCAAATTATTTAAATATCTAAATTACAAGAAAAAAATAATTAGAGGTGAGAGGGGTTGTTACAATGGAAAGAAAGCACACTCAACTGAACTGCCTTCCTGCTCACATGTATAATTCATACTACATATCATCTCTGCATAGTCTTTTTTGTCGTTTTTTATTTATTTGTATTTGCACAGCATCTGGACCTCACACTTGAACAGAAAAGCAGAGATTTCCTATGACACATTTCTTCAGTACCTTTGCCCAACTGTAGCTCACTCAAGTACTAACAAAATCTACTGCAGGTGGTGTTGTATCAACACTATATTTACAATACATCTGGGTTTGGATGCTGAAAATCTGCTTTCAAAAACATGTATAACGTAATGAACTATCAGAAAAAGAATAGGCTGCTACGATCATTCGATTCAGTCAGGGAAAGGAAGATGCTAAACTAGCCTGCTCAAAAAAAAGCATTAATACTTTCAATTTCAGGCAAGCAGTAATGATGTTAATTTAGCAATATAAAAACATTCCAAGGATCTGTGCTTATATTTGTCAACAGCATCACAGCACTGGCAGATACCAATTACTGCATTCATAAATTAAAAAGAAAACATGAACAAGCAAAATCTTAATTTTCATTTTGAACCAGTCCTGCTTTCCTTGAAAAGAAAAATAAATAAAACCCCTCGTTTCAGAGCACCGCAGACACACACCTGAAGCAAAATTGTATTTCCTTCGTAGTCTTGTGTTTGCCACCTGGTGCTACTGATAGGAATACATGGGTTAGGCAGGAGAGGCACCAGCTGCCCAATTTCTTGCACCTTGAACTGCAAGGCTGATGACTCCTTCGGCTCTGCAGCCACCCCAATGGGCAGCTGCTTCAAGCAGAGCTGCACAGCAATATTTTGGGTTGCGTACAACACAAAGACACAGAAGTTACTTTTCTGCATAGTTGCTTCTTTCTGCAGGATCATCTCATAGAGTCTCACTGCATCCTCATAGTTATCGAAACTGCAGTAGAGGGTCACACGCAGGATCTCGGGGCCACAGTGCACTCGCCTGATGCCCCACACAGGCATCTGGTCGTCCAGGCCATAGAAGTCCTGGTGAGCTGATGCATAGAGGTGGCTTTGCCCATTAGCAATCTGGGCACACTGGTAGCGCCAGGGTGGACGCTGGAGTTGCTCATGGACCTGGAAAATCCGTTCTTCTCCCAAATCTTCATGTAGAAAAAGGAGAACAGATATTCCAGGAAAGCTGAAGCTTCTCTTATGATATCTGCCATAGTATTTCAATGAGTATTTCAATGGAGTAACTCGCTCAGATACCAGGAAAAGGCGAATATCCAGGCAGATCCACTCCAAAAGCCTATCCAGGGTTTGCTGCAGAAGCAACGAGTGTCCCAAATTGGCAAGAAGATGCACAGTCATCAGAGAGCCTGCTCCATCATCCATTGCAAAGGGTCCTGACAAAAAAATAAAAATAGACAAATCGGTGCCTTCCCTCTCCTTCTCCTGCTATTGGAGCCTCAGTAACACGAGGGGTGTACTCCCTTTGACGGAATGAATTCAATCTTCTACAGGCTTTGCAATAACCTGATGAAATACGCAGGTATGCACAGTTAACGTACACAAGCAGGCAGGTGAAAAGTGACAAGGCATTATGTGATAGGTCCCAGGTCACTCACATCACAGCAGAGCTCAGCTGAAGGCTCACTTTCCAACTCCAAGACTTGAGCTCTGGTCACTGTGTACATGCAACCATAGTGCCCATAAACACCTCTGTGTCCCACAGCTCTTGTCCTTCACAGCACAGGGCAGTAGAGATGAAGAGCACAAACACAAAAGCAGTAATTCTCCAAGATGAGATGATGTTGTTAAGCACACTTGCCTGTCAGCAGTGGAAATGGATGGTCTGGATCTGGCCAAGTCCCACCAGTGTGCATCTCTGCGCGATCGCTGCCTTTTGCAACGGCGATGTGGCACCCGCGTTTGAAAACCTCAGCATATTTTCTTGTAGTCAGCAGGCTGGCTCTAGCTCACTGTAAAAAGCTTGTGATCTTTTATCTGTATGACCCAGAAGGGTGTGACTCTCAGCTATGCTTTAAAAACAAGGAAGGAAAACAGACTAACAAAAGAAAAAACCTCATGTGAACACAATAGATAACAATAAGGGCAGATATGAATCAGCCTCAGGAAAGAGGGTCTTTGGGAAAAAAACCTCGACTCCTAGTTATGCACTTCACAACACAGGCAGCTTGCTGCCTAGCTGGAAACCAAATCCTGGGTTATTACACGTAGCCCAGAAAAGCTGGGTACCAGGCTTCACCCTTTCAGTGCCCTGTTTGCATCTTTTTCCTCCTCCTTTTTCTTTTTAATGCTGAGATAGCCATGTAATCAGCACCTTTAAGCAAACTCTAGCATTTTTTTTCCTTGCTCCTTGGGTTTACATATTGGTACTTAATTTAGCTTATTACGTAGACTACAGTAGGAATGCTGAAACACACCTCTTTCCAGGCGTTTTCTAGTGTCTAGACAATAAATCACACTGTCCCTTCATCTCCTTATTTTGCCAACCCAGGAGCAATACATACAAGTCAAGCCAACCCCCATTTTCAACACAGAACTGCCCCCACTGCAGCCAGTATTTAAATCAAAACTGGGGCGTCTGACTATGTATCTAGCTCCATCTAATTAAGAGCAACATATCTCTCTGCTGACATACCAACTTCCCTCTCAAACAGCCAAGCACACAAAGCAGCGGTTCACCAAGCAGAAATCCCAGCATTAATAAGAGTCTGTTCTTCAAAACTCTGAACTATTTCTTTTTTTTAAAAAATACAATCCTAGCTTTATATTCAACTGAGCAAAATCTCCAAGGTCTAAAGGTACAAGTAGCGCCTTGGTTTCCTTTATGTAGAAGGTCACTCTCACTAGTAGAAATACACATTCATGCTTTAAAACTGCACAGACAGCAATGTACAACAAAAATTAAAAGGCTGACTAGAAAATGAGCAAACAAATTAATTTGCATTGATAGAGACAAACCCACCCACAACACTTCCAAGCAAGTAACAACTGTTGGGAGCGAGACAAAAAAATCCAGCCTTTGGACAATTGCAGGAAGAGAGCAAAGAGAAGAGCCCAAGTGCTCAAAACATTAAAACACTTTAGATGAGCTCTGAACAACACAATTTTACTAAAATACCGAAAAGGAAATGATTCATCAACTCTGCTACAGGGCAGGGGCAAGCAGTCATCTGCCTTCCTGCACGTGAGGAAAAGGGGAATTCTGCCTGTACAAGCAAACACAGAAACTAAGGAAGTTCACGGGGGCTTGGTTTGCAGCTGGAAGCATGAGCTGCATTTCGAGGTCCCTGTTCCGGCAGGAGGCAAAAGGGCTGGGTGTGGCAGAAATACCCTGCAGGGCCTCAGTGGCATCACGCGAAGGAAGGCAGGCACCCCCCTGCGGTGCCGTGTTAGGGTCAGGCAAATGAGCAGAGTTTGGGAAGAGTTAAAGTGCATAAATATGAGTGAACACAAACATGGGGAAAGGGGAAGCAATCCTCACCCTGCATGCCCAGCGAAGGGGCTGCGGGCTGGTGTATGGCCCAGCAACGCTGCCAGGGGCTGAGCAGGCAGTTGGGCGAAAGCGGCAGCTCCACAGCAGCCTGAAACAATGGTATTTCTAGGGAAGGAATAGGGATGGAAATGGAAAACATAGTGCGGCAACCTATAAATCCACAGCACATCTGTATCTTCAATAATACATGTTGTTCCAGCTGCTCTTTAATAAGACAGACGTGGAGGTTTAGGGAGAAATGAGAAGGAGGAAGAAAAAAGTAATGAAAGAAGCCACTTAGGTGAGAGGAGCAAGCAGATGAGGACCTTCAGCCTGGAGAAGGAACTGTGGCAGGAGACACTATAAACCTATGAGGTTACGCATGGCATCAGGAGGGTAAAAGGGCAGCCATAGGTTAAAGTATCCTCCCAAAAATCAGCAAGGGGATCAACTGCAGCTAGCAACACACATTTCCAAAAAAGTGAAGAAACTCTTCACATGTGTCATTAAGCTTGCCACAAGGCAATGTGATACCAGAAGTTTGTTTGGATTCAGAAAGTGACTGAGCACATGCACAGATGTAAGATTTACCAAATTGCTAGGGACTGGGCAATGAGTTCAGGGACACACTGCAATGCCTCTGAAAACACAGAGCACAAGCATTTGCTCAATCACAGAGCACTTGCTCCCACGAGCAGGCTCACCCCACCTGCACACTTGCTCCCTCCCTGGATGATCACCCCCTTGGGCTGCTACTACACTGCAGTCCCGGTACCTGCCCTCTATTTCCCCTTCTCCCACAGAGCAGAGGACCCCATCACTCCTCCACTGGCAAACTGCTCATTCTCACGGGCATGAAGCGGGAGCAAACATTGCTTTCCCTGCGCATGCACTACAGAGTCGCACAGCTCTCGCCACCTACCTCCACTCAAATCGCATCAGCCCAGCGCTTTACAGTCCCGTGGGGGCAGCAGCACTGTAGTGAAGAAGATAAAGTGCTGGTAACGCGAAGTCTTGCAAAGCAGTTGTAGAGAGTAAGGGCTGGTGAACCCAGAGGAGTGGGGGTTAGGAAATGATGTAGACACCACATCTCCCTCCAGCTCCCGCTGTAGCCAGTGAGGGCCAAACTAATTTCCAGATGGATGGGTGCCTCCCACAGAGACTCCTGAAGGTGACCAGCATCTCTCCTGTGCAGAGCTGGGATCTGATGGAGCTGCTATCCTTTTCAAGTGTCACCAGGTTTTATAAAAGCCAAGAAACTGAGCCTACACCCAAAAAGGGCCAAATCCTGAGCCCTGCCACCATGCTGTGTTTCCTCTGTGAGCAGCACACTTGCTGGGGTGGGGCAGGGAAGCAGTCTCACCTGCGAGCTCTATCTGATAGAGCTGCCAGGAGAACAGTTTTAGGCCTGGTTCTCAGACCCATAAGCTCCCCAGCAGATCCAGGTCAGCGGTACCCACCACTCCTACCATGAGATGAACTGGACATCAGCCTTTGCCTGAAGCCCTCCTTTGGAGGGCAGCCCTACCAACCTGACTGAGCGCAGTCCAAGTAGAGGAATGCTCTGCTCCTCTTCCACTATGCTTTGACATCTAAATGTCCATGAGGAAGAGCTCAAACCCAGGCTCCCCAACCCCAGACAAAGGTATCCTCATCCCCTCGCTTTGTCTCCAGTCTATTGCCTACCTAAACCTTGGAGTAAAGCCAGGATGCCACAACCCTCACCTCTGCAGCCTGATGAGTTTAGACCTCCTTATCCACTGCTTTTCTCAGAGGCACCAAGAAGGTATCAGGTGGGGGGAAAGGGATGACTGCCATCAGAACAAAGTGGTGGCTTTTGCTGGGTCTTGTAAGAAAAGGAAAAGTGCTGGTTTCACTATGATCCCCGAACGTAGTGAGTCCTTGCCTTCCTCTCTGCTTCCCCTTCCCCCAGCTTTCCAGCCTGGCTGCCAAACAGAAAAGTACATTATTCATAATGACCTACTGAACATGCCAAGAAAGATTTCTTTAAGAGATTAGAAAAACAGCAGTTCAATCTTATGTGAAAAGTCACTCTGCTGCGGGGGGGGGGCGGGGGGGCAGGGGCAGGAAATAATTCTGATGTGGTACTCAGAAGATATACTGGAGCCCCATTCCCACATGGTAGTTTCTGGCAACACAGCAGAATGTACAGCAGACTGCTGGGGTAGTGCAGCTTTGTGTAAGAGCAAGTCAAATATGAATATTTGTGTCTACCACCAATATATATACTAGTAAGCCCTGCTTAAAATAAAGTCCAAATGTAAACAACTAACACATTTTATTGCATAAAGACTCAGAGAATACTGTCTGCTATGTGTTTAAAAGCTTACAGTGGAAAGGCACAGCAAAATAATTAAAAATTCCTTTTCATAATGAATTCTTAAGATGTGCCTAGTCCTCTGTGGTGCTCAGAGCCCTTCACTCTAGCTGACGCCAACAAGACTAACGATGCATCACAGGATTTAATAAATTCATAGTAACATCTGTAAGGAAGTTACTTTATAAGGATTTAAGCTGTGTATACCAGCACATAATTAACTTCAGAGAGACTGGGTGTGAATTACCTTAGCATCTTGGGAGCAGGCCTCATTAAGTACATGCAATGTCTTGGGATTACTAACTTTTAAAAGACATTTCTTTTGTTTTATGCCAATCTCAAGCTCTGTCTATAGCAAGGACAAAAATACTAAGTTAACCTGCTAGGTGACAATCATCTATGGCATAGATATGGAGATTAAAAAAAAAGAAAATAAAAATCAGGATTAAGGTCTTACTTGAGTACAATAAGCTTTTCAAAGAGTTGTCTCTTGCTCCAAACCTTGTGACTCCAATTCATTGCCACTTAGGAGGAAAGTAAAACCCCAATGACCAA